TTCACTCACTTTTTTGATACTACTAAAACCGTTCAGCGAAAACGAAACATGGTTTTGTGGTCCCTACAATATGCTAGGAACCGTTTTCAGAAAGCGCGGCTTGCCCCGAAAGACCCCCCCCCTTTGTTAGGGCTTCCATTTCATGCGCGCGGTAGTGTGCAGCGCTAAACTGGTTATGAATAAAGACTGACTAGAATGTATGGTTCTCTGATGAAACATAGCTGTGAGTAATGATCGTGACCTCAGTCATAATTCATTCTCAGATTGCCTACCACTCGCTTTTTATCGCTTCGACAGTGGGCACCCGTCTGAAGTGGATCGGAGAGTTTCTTCGTGGGAAATGGGGCACGATTATAGAGGGTGGGGCACGGGAAGCAATTGTATGGCGCGCAAAAACGTGAATTTACCCGAAAAAGGAACAGCTGCTGTAGATTCATCCTACAGAAAAGCTAAAGAAGCTTCACCTCCCTTTTGGACAATCTGCATTTGCTTGGACATAGGCTCGAGACGCTGAGGAGAGCATCGACCGTAGCGAGCAGGTTTTAGGCGTTCAGCTCACTCCATGCTTTCCTTCTACGTATCTCTGAGGGATAAGAGTTTCCATGAGACTTCGCGCGTCCTTGGGCGCGAGGATGCGCGAGCCTCATTGAGTCCCTTATTCAGGTCGAGGAATCAGGGGAATTAAAGTCCAGTTACTGAGGTTTCACTCATCTTCTGCTCTGACGTGGTAGGATTGAAGGTAGCACTTGTTTACCTTTCCGATATTCGCCTTGGTCGGTCACGGAATCGGCCTTCTACGCCCAAGTTGGTGAGGAAGCCCATTCCCTCAGTTTTGCGGCTTGCCCACAACTTTGAAAAAGATCCCTAGACGCGCGACGGCGACACGTCCATCGCTCGAAGCCCTTAACGTCAGTAACAGAAACACGAGGGCCATGGCTTCACCATTCCCGTAAAGTAGTGAAATTTCCGCACTGGTAGGAGGAGGGGGCACAGAGAATCCAATGAAAGCAAGAAGAAGTTTTCCAAAGGAAGATAGCGTTCCAGCGGTTGAGGTGTCCATGCCCGTATCTAGTTTCAGTGGTCTTGCCACCTTTTGCATTGCACTGTACGTCCATGCACATTGTGTATCATTCGCGATTCCATGTTCGATCTTCTATAAATCCTGGCATTCGTGTAATTGTTCCAATGTTTCTATAGCGGCAAATAAGGTGTCATAAGTACTCGATTGGCTCCGTTCCGGTCGTATCGCCCTCGTCAAAACCTGGGCAGTCGAGGATGAATGCGACTTAGAAACATTTTCAAATTCTAATTGAACGCTTGACAGGAGGAACAAAGCACTACACACAAGTTGACGCTGCCACTATGACGACAGGTTACTTCGCTGATCACCGATTGCAGTTAGTGATCTGTAAATATGAGCTGGTTATGGTCCGAAGCCCGCATCAGGTGAATGTAATATACAATATAGTGACGGCGTAATTCCTTGGCTAATTGCCAGGCGTTTCTCTTTTTGTTCATTTTGGAACTTTTAACGCTGATCCAGAAAGCCTCCAGAGTTTTGCGTGGTGGGGTTGTTGTTCGAAGACGACAAGGCCGAAGCTTCAGCCGGTAAAGTTTTCCAAACATCCAGTTCGCGGCTACCACAAAAATATGAATGCAATGGTTATAGAGAGCGAAAACGTGGGAGGAATGAGGGAAAGGGAAGCCTGGCATCAGTCCTGAGATCTAACAAGTTTCAGTTCAGCTCACTTTCTGTTACATTCATTCCACTGCTTAGTATACATATATATATCCATCAAAATTACGAATAACACATAGTTTGCAGCGGCAGAAAAAGGAAAAGAGAGTATCGGAGTGTTCAGAGAGAAAAAAGAAGCAAAAAGACCAGGAAGATGCAGCGGAGGCATCCGAGAAACGAAGAAAGAAAAAGGATGACACCGAGAAAGGCGCAGACGCTTCGGAGAGACGAAGAAAGAAGAAGGATGACACTGAGAAGGGCTCAGATGCTTCGGAACGGCGTAGAAAACAGAAGGACGACAAAGAGAAGGATAAAGGTGAAACTTCAGAGCGGAAGAGGAAACAGAAAGACAAAGATAAAGGCGATACATCAGAAAGACGAAAGGTGCTTTGAAGTTTCCATGAATCCTTCACGTTCTGCTGAATTTCTTAATGTTTTGCTAATTTTTCACACATTTAGAAGGAGAAGAAGTCTGGCGAGGCGCTTTCGATTGTAAGTGTCCAGATTTGCTTTTTTGAGTAAAATTCGTCACTTTACTTTCTCTGGTCTGTTTCTGGAAAAAGTCTGAGCTCAGCCTTTCTGCAGGAATCAAAAAATAAGGAAGCTTCTCTGGAAACTTCAGAACGAAGAAGAAAGAAATGTGAGCTAATATTTCCTCTATGAAAAGCAGTTTTCTATAATACTCTGCTGCACAACAACTTTCGGGTTGTTCTGACTAGTTCCACAAAGAACTGATCATTTGTCATGGAGTGAACGGTCCAGCACTTTACAAAACTTCTGCCAGGCGTAACGCACCGTATTGACCCAGGAGCTATAAAAGGTATGGCTCAGCTTTTGCCGAAGGCGAAATCCATGCTGCTCATATGGACGGCCACTCAGAATACAACTTGTCCATCAATGTCTTCTCGTCCCTGCCATCTTGAAGGAATGGAATAAGAAGGTTTGAGGTTATGTGCTCATACCTCAAGAATGGAATACTCTCTTTAGAGCTCTATTACGGTTAGAAATGATACGAAATACGCAAAAATAGAAGAGCCAAGGGAAGAC